GGCCCATGAGGATGGAGATGGGAAGCCTCAAAACTCAGGGAGCTTGAGGTCTCTCCAGTGGATGAATCCCAGGAGCCTGCCCGCCTCTTACTGTACTGCCCTCCCCACGCACGCCCTCCCCAGCCATGGCTTGGGGGGGTCTCGAGGAGTGTGGGTGTCCTTGGTCTCTTTCCCTTTTCCTCCCTAGGTCCCGGGCAGTCACCAGCTCCTCTTCCAATATATTTCCTAGAAAGAAGGGAACTCCTGTGTGTGAGTGTGAGTGTGAGTGTGAGTGTGAGTGTGAGTGTGTGTGTGTGTATGTGTGTGTGTGAAGGGTGGGGGCTGAGGGGCAATAGAGGTGGAGGGGCTGCAAAGAAACACCACTGAGAATATAGGGAAGGAAAGGCACAGGATGAGAGGAGGGTGAGAGAACGGTGTGAGGCGGTGGGACAGAGACAAAGAAAAGCAGTGACTAAAACACCCAGAGAGAAGAAACACCCCAACAAGCTGCTCACGTGGGTAAATCTTGCGGGATGGGCACGAAGCTGTACTTTTCTGCATTTTTACAATTCACTTAAAAAAACAAAAAAAGCAGCGGGGGAGTGTGTCACCAACACGACTATGTTGAGTTCAAAACTTTTGTGAAGTTCACTGTCCTCATTCCAGGGTAGGGGGGTGGGGCCGGGGATGGGGGTGGTGCAGACCCACAAGGGCCTTAACATAAACCCATTTCTCCTCTCCCTCGGGCTGGGCTGAGCGTGAGGCTGTGTTTGTCCCAGGATGGAAGGATGCAGGGCCGAGGGAGAGGCATGGACAGGGCGGGCAGGTGCTGACCAGGGGTGAGAAAACGCCCACAGTAGCTGAGGACCGGGACAGAAAGGGAGGGGAAGGCGGCGGCAGGGGGGGCGGTGGTTAGAGGGAAAGAAACCGGCCAGCCCCTCCCAGACCACCCTCCTCGCCCTCGGAAATGGAATGGACTCGCAGCCCGGGGCGCACAGGGCCCGGATTCAGGCCCCGCTGGCAAGTGGGAGCCCCCGGAGGTGGGGACCCCCTCAACCCCCCTGCCCCG